TAGTAGGTTACTGTTACTATACAGGGATTTCAAACTTGGTGTGAGACAATGACGTCGTTAGTAAGTAAGTATACTTACAGTGTATCATTAGTAGGTTACTGTTACTATACAGGGATTTCAAACTTGTTGTGAGACAATGACGTCGTTAGTACGTAAGTATACTTACAGTGTATCGTTAGTAGGTTACTGTTATTATACAGAGATTTCAAACTTGGTGTGAGACAATGAGGTCGTAGGTACGTAAGTATAATTACAGTGTATCATTAGTATGTTACTGTAACCTCAGGGTAACCTACTTTTTATGTGTATACAGGGATTTCAAACTTGGTGTGAGACAATGAGGTCGTAAGTAAGTAAGTATAATTACAGTGTATCATTAGGAGGTTACTGTTACTATACAGGGATTTCAAACTTGGTATGGGACAATGACGTCGGAAGTACGTAAGTATAATTACAGTGTATCGTTAGTAGGTTACTGTTACTATACAGGGATATCAAACTTGGTGTGAGACAATGACGTCGTTAGTAAGTAAGTATACTTACAGTGTATCATTAGTAGGTTACTGTTACTATACAGGGATTTCAAACTTTGTGTGAGACAATGACGTCGTAAGTAAGTAAGTATAATTACAGTGTATCATTAGTAGGTTACTGTAACCTCATGGTAACCTACTTTTTATGTGTATACAGGGATTTCAAACTTGGTGTGAGGCCAAACTTTGGGAATGTGAGTTCAGTGAATCATTTAATAAGATCATTGTGACCTAATTTCCATACGCAATTGTTTTATTCTCATGCCTGTCATCGACGGGCCGTGTTATGGTTTGACCTGTATCTCTCTATTAAGCAGTTTGTTTTCGCGTGGTAAATTTCCTAAATATTATTGGATTTGCATAAAACTTGTTCAGCTACTGAAATCTATGCCAATTAGTGTACTTCGTACGGATTGGATTGTTCATGTGCACGCTGTAGCTACCCTCACTGTACCGAAAAGGGAACATTTTAGGATAAATCGATTCAAGAAATGTTTGTTCATTTTTCATAAATAGATAGTATCCACTGCCTTTTTCTACTGCAAATTAGTTTTCCGGCACGTGGTACTATAAATAGAACGTAAAATACTATCAGGATACTTCTGTTCCGCGGTAGTCCTTATGACTATAGTATTGTAGCTTTACACATTGGTCATTTTTGGGTTGCACATTAAACAAATGCACGATCATATATGTATGTGTCGCACTTTAGATATTTATTAATCAAGCCCAATGTAACGGTCATTCGTCAAGGTTAAAAAAAAATGTTTAGAAATGTAGAGTTGTGGCGCCACACAAGTGTCACACTGGAGATGTCTGTAGCACAAGGCTAAGGTCAAGGTAGCACACTTGCGTTTCTTTTTGTACAAACTTCGAGTCAACCAACTTCAACAATTTGAAGATTAATCGCAGAGGAGGATTTATACGGATAGAGTAACGTTTTCGACAGAAATGAATTACTTTGTGTTTACAAAGTGACGGTAGAGGCTTGATTTAATAGAGTTTGTTGTCAGGCTAGATACAGTATCAGGAGGGAGTTTATTTCACTCTGATATAGTTCGAGGAAAGAAAGTTTCTTTTCTAGACTGAGTTTTGGAGAAAGGAATTTGGATAGAGAGCTCGTTTCCGTGCCTGGATTTTCTGACTGGGGGAGAAGTCTGTCAGATTTTGCAACAGCAACTTTACAATTGACAATATTGTAAAACAGTTTAAGTGGTCCAACTTTACAATTGACAATATTGTAAAACAGTTTAAGTGGTCCAACTTTACAATTGACAATATTGTAAAACATTTTAAGTGGTCCAACTTTTCAGACACACTTGAAGTACGGTGATTGTACCTGTTTTTATATTAAGTACGTAACGCGCAGCCCTGCGCTGCACCATTTCAAATTTGTCAATATTTGTTTGTGTGTGAGGATCCTATACTGTGCAAGCAGATTGATATGCCTACACTTTGGCTGATGTTGAGCCAACTTTAAGAGTTCGTCTGAAGAAGCCTAAGGAGGAATTTGCCTTTGAGAAGATGTTATTAATATGGGAGTCCCATTTGAGGTCAGATTTTAGTGTGACACCCAATTACTTAGCCTTATCTACATGATCTAATATATGTTCTTGTATATGTTGTTATTATGGACTATACATTCCTTAGTTTTAATCACAGGTAGCACATTACATTTTCTCGGGTGGAAGGCCATTTTCCATGTATTTCCCCAGAGCCTCAGTTTGTCAAGGTCTTTCTGCAATGTTACGGCATCGCTGTTCCACCTGACAACTAGATATGCAATAGTGTCCAAGAACTGACACATGGGGTACTCCAGAATGGACATTGACAGAGTCAGACTTCCCACCTTCTACTACTACTGTTTGGGTTCTACTTACCAGGAAACTTCCAATCCAGTTTGTGGCGTTGGCCCTTATACCATAATGTTTTAACTTATGGATAAGTACAGAATGGCTGACTTTGTCAAAGACCGTACTATTATCAAGATGTCGGTTTGATGTCCTGCATTAAGGTTTCTGGAGATATCATCAATTAATTCGAGTATTTGGGTTTTACATGATCGAAATTTGCAAAGACCATGTTGAAATGGATACAAGATGTTATGGGTATCGGCATGTGTCATGATGTTGGAGACCACTATATGTTCTATGATTTTACTACAGACACATGTTAGAGACATTGGCCTGTAGTTTTCTGGGTTGGATTTTGGAATTTTTGTATACACAGGTGACACATTGACAGTTTTCCAATCCAAAGGGACTATACCTGTTGCCAATGACTGTTTAAATACTAGAGTTCTGATCGGGGCTTCTGTTGCAAGCTCTTTCAGGAACTTAGGTTTGATGCCATCAGGGCCTAATGCCTTGTTTGGATTTAGGCCTTGGAGGAGTTTTAGGACACCCTCTATCATGAGCAGGCATGTTACACCTGGTGAGAAACTGCTGGTCAGATTTCAGAGGGATTAAATGCATATTTGAATTATCCGTTTAGTACCTGGGCCTTCCTGGTAGGGTCATGAACTAGCTTACCGTCCCTTTTCGTCGGAGACATTCCACTATGGTCTGATCGTTTGGATTTTATATACGACTAGAATCGTTTTTACTAGTAAATTTATTTTCATTTGTTGTGTTGATGGGGTGATGATGGCTTCAATATGGTTCCAGCAAGATGTTGGATTGTTTTATGAGGGATATGTTGTTTTATGAGGTTGCTTAATTCAGTTTTGAAATACTCCCACAGTTTGATTACATCCCACACGCTATTTACTGACAAAAATCTATATACATTGATAAGCATTTCTGATATGCAATTTGACAGACATTATTTTGAAGATTCTGTGAACACACACAAACACATTTTGCACTTGTAAGCAACCTGCATTTTGAATGGCCAATTGAGTTTTGTTGGAAGGTGTTTGTTGATGCAAACATAATATGGAGTATTATAGGTGACATTTAGATTGACATGTACCTTTTTTAATCCTTAAAAGTCCTTGTGCTACTTATTTCACTTATGTTTTTTGTATTTATTTCTAAAGGACATTGAAAATTGGCATTTGTTGTCCAGTCACCAGTTTATCCGTCATGTTTTCCGTGTTTTACCCAAACCGTCCTTGTAACATCCGGTTTATTACCGTCGCGGCACTGATTTCCGGTCTGATTTCCAAACTGATAACAACACCTGACAGTAACTGAAAGTGGAGACATATGGTAATTCGAAAATTGATTTTTTTCTTCTTCAAGATGATTAAGCGATCGGTAACCTCTGATAAATCCCTGACGCTAATATACACGGAACAACCATACTGTATTGTAGCCCGAGTTTCCTCCGGCCCTGATACCAAACTTAGCAAGATACAAGAAGCTTTATTTAGAGTCGCACACATATCCACATGGAACATCGCTCTTGAGACCTATATTTGCGACTGGTATATAAGTCTGGTGTCAGGGCCAGAAGAAACTCGGGCCACATGAGTCTGCTCGGGCTAACTGTCCTGTTAGAAACCTGATATTCCCTGATAAAGTCAGTCGACTATTTTCATGTGATTTTCTTTTTGAAGGAAAACGAAACAAAGTCGCTTTTAAAAGAAGATTTTATTATTAGGATAACGAAAGACATTAAATATAAGTATTCTTTTTAAAAAATAATGATGTAAAAAAATCTTAACATTTATGAAAAATGAAAATAAACATCTAACGTTAAATGTACACTTTTTGAAGTCAACAATACCATAAACCTTATTGTTTTATGCGACTTTGCTTTGATCGGCAGAGTGTACTGGACCTGTCTACTACAGTAATCATAGACTGTTGTATAGAATAGATGTGTCTTAATATCATATTCTTCTTCTTTTTCCATTTGAACGATCAGACTCAAAGGTTTGAGTGCATTTGATCCTGGGAGGTGGCATAATTGCATTAAACAAAATTTTTTGGTATTTTTCATTATGATATAAAAACAGGAAATAATTTAGGGTTTAAGTTGAAACTAGCAAGGGTACACCTGAAAAATTTAGGTTTTGCTCATGTGCTAGAGGATTTGGTAGAGAATTCCAAAATTCCTATTCAAATTAGTCCTGGGGAAAAAGAGTATTTATGTATAGGTTTTTGTTGGTGTGAATTTGGTTGATTCTGGGCGCCCCCCATGTTCTCCTATCACTTGATGCTAAAACATTGGATGGATGGATACCATCATGTCCATATATGATCTTACATAATATCTTACATAGTATCATAAGTCTGCTTTATGCGATATAAAACAGGTAACATATTAATTAAGCACAAAAACTTGAGGGGGTGGGGCAGGGGAGGCGTGTCCTCTTCTGAAAAATAAATCACAAATAAAGTAATCGCTATGACAGGATTATTACCCATATGAGTAGTTGTGCCCAACCTGCAATCCTTCATTTGGTGAACTGTTGTTGTATATGTTAGTAACAATTATATTTCTGAAATGGGAAATAAAGGGAAATACAAAAACACATATGAACCAATAACAAGGCGTTATTAACCAAATAAATAACAGTGAGGTACAATAGTGTGACGTTTGGCACCAAATTTTACATGGCAGTGAATTCATTCACTCACTCACTAAAACATAGTATCACTCTGCATTTAAAATGTTCTATTTTGTCTTGATGTATATTCATTTGGTGTTATTTAATTCGCAATATTAAACTGTATATATGATCCACACAGTGAAACATGCTCTTCTTTCAGAGATGAGAAAAAAAAATGAGTTTCCTGTAACTGAGTCAGATCAGGTTTTCTTTTCTAAATATAATACATGTATCTGAATGTTGAATGAGAACAAGGTCTCTTAACTTGTGATAGTTGATCATGATCGTCACGTTTATCTAAATCTCTTTAGTTAGTTTTCCAATTGTTAAAGACACCTGGTAACCCTCGTGTCTTTATACAGTTTGAAAATTAACTAACTTGAGTTAATAAACATAACCACCCACCACTAATTGGGAAGCCTTTATATCTCAGTCTTAGACTCTGGTGCTGCTACACCATTCCATTATTGATTCCCTTAATAGGTGAATTCTTAATAAATGCAAGCAATAAACAATTTTCACCAGGACAGCTTGAATATCAGTGATATTCTATCAAACACCCCCACCCCACCCCAATTGTGTTCATCCACCCACCAATTCGCTTGCTGCCCATAGATTGGTTCAACTTTTCTCATCATAGTATCCGGTCTAACTTAATGCCAGAAATAGTTAATTTGACATGCTTCTGCAGAATCAAATGTCATGACTCATATTTAACATTTGTATACTGTACACGATGGTGAGCAAATATTGTTTACAAGCTGAACTGAGCTAGTTTTGGGGCCAGGTGATTGTATCACATACACTTCATTTTGTCGTTGGTTATATGAAAGAAGTTACTGTACTTAAGGATGTACACCTCTGAGAAGTCAAAAAATTCATGTATTAAACTTTTTTTATATGGATTTATGGAAAAAGGAGTTAATGGCATAGTAGAAAATGCAAAAAAAACTATATGTCCGTGTGCTCGTTTTCGTGCTATGGTCGGTCAAAGACACCAATTTAACAGAACATGTGATTTTAGGTGATTTATTGGGGTTTTACCATTTGTACAACAAATTCTTACAATTTCTTCCAGTGTGTTATCAGATATGTATGAATGTTTGTAGAATTGTTGAAAATATTATTTTCTTTGAAATTATGAAAGTAACATTTCTTAATCTTATTCCTTTAACTCAGAAAGCCGATTTTAGTTACCCATACCCCCTATTTATTAATGAAAAAATACTATTTTTTTTACCATTTTTTGAAGATTAAACTCTTGATATAAAAAGTTCTGCTATTAAACGTTTTTTTAATATTTAATGAATTAAAAGAAATGTGTTTCTCTTTCTAAAACATTCACAAAAATGGGGGGTCAGTGTGCTTCTTTTTTTGTCCCATTATCATTTGTGTAATTTTTTACCTTTTTCAGGGTCAAAAATCAAAAGTGCTTCAGTTACACTAGAAATGTAAAAAATATCAATAATGTATAATTTTCCAGTTTGTTGCATATCATTTTTATCATATTAAACATTTTAAAGCTGTAGAGCAAAATTGAACTTGCTACAATTAAAAATGGCAACACAACGATAATTTTAGTGATCAATCTAGTGTCAAACGGTATATAATACGCCCGTCACACATTGAATGAGTAGTTGTTTGTATGAATGAAATATTTGAAGTATTTGTGAGTAATTGATATTGAAAGAGAAATCATTCAACATAACTGGTAGATCAATGAGTGCAATACAACATCATGGAATGCATGCATCGCATTAATGAAACCAAGGGGAATAACTCCAATCATTACTGTCGGATAATGGCGGTTATCGAACTTGTCCAAGGTTTCATGGTAATTGCCCTTGTTGTGAAGTTTGAAGTTAATCCGTTAATAATTACTCGAGATATCGAACGGACACTGTTTCGGTAAGTCCATAAAGGGGCATAACACGACAAATTGTGGTCAGATAATGGTGGTTATCAAACTTGTCCAAGGTTTCATGGTAATTGCCCTTGTTGTGAAGTTTGAAGTTAATCCCTTAATAATTACTTGAGATATCGAGCGGACAATTTGGTAGTTGTTTTAAATTCTTTTTAAAAAAGTTCTACAGACAACAGGCATCTAGTTTTTTGACATATTTTTCAGATGTGTGATTGCTAATAAACTTGATCATAGTTTGTTAAATATTACACCAGATCAAAACGAGACTTGAACGTGATTGAAACTTCAGAAGAGTAGATCCTTAATCATGATCTGTTCAGGAAAATTACAGAAACCTTCATATCAAAATGTGGACATTTAGACAATGAAGACCACTTAACTTTGATGTATGTGGATCCTTATATTTACAGAGTTTAAACTTGTCTAGAGTAGCAAACATTTTAGGGTAAGCACTAAAAACTGGGTTGAGTGGGGCTATTGGAAACAAAACAGAATGCATTAAGAAAACCCTATGTATTTTGGGTCGCCTGAAACGCGAGGCGACATTCAGGTTAAGGTATAACATTATGGACGGCGTCAGTGGCGTCGTCCGAAACAAGGTTTCCATGTGATGATTTGAGTTCCCTTGGGTTGATTGAACTCAAACTTGGTACACATATTGCATACCAATATAGCTTGGACAAGTTTGCATTTCAGAAGTTTACGTGCATTTTAAGTAGAGTAATGCTCCTTTTATTGCCAAATAACGACATTGTGTAGTAAATTCAAGAACTTTATTATTTTTTAATCAATTCCTTTCAAATTTTGTACGGTAATGCTCGAAGCAATAATGCATGTTCAACATATATTACAGGTTTTTTTGTCAAGCTTCAATTTTCCGCGTTATGGCATATCTGTTTACGCGATAAGTCAAGCCAAAACACTTTTCTTACTAAAAGCGCTGAGCAGGCGACACATCCACTCCTGATCAGTCCTGTGGAATTCTTGTGTATTTCAGTAATCAAAACTTAGTCTATGGTATTTTGACAGATTTTTAAGGTTAAAGATAATATCTAATGATAGGGGTGTAAAAAGTCCACTAGCCTGATGCCTGGGTCTAGTAGATTTGCAAATCAGGCATTTGTTGAAAGGTTAGCTGGTAACAAACAAGGCCAAAGCAATGTAATTAGGGCCCCATATCGGAGATACGGGTGCCCTATAGTAATCACTCTGTCTGTCTGTCTGTCTGTCTGTCTGTCCGTCCACAAATTTTGTTCCTAACTGATAACTTTGGTATTTATTGACCGATGTACATGAAACTTGGTCAAGATGTTCAAATCACAAAAATACACAATAAGGTGTCAAGGTCAAAGGTCAAGGTTATTAGGTTCAAAGGTCGAGGTCAAATTTTGCATCTTTTCACTGATGAACATTTAGTTATGACATGATGAAGCAAAGTTGATCAGAATAAACAAGGAGTCAACCTGACCAAATGTCAAGGTCATTGGGTCAAAGGTCAAGGTTAAATTTTGTATATTTTCACTGGTGAACATTTTGTTGTGACACTTTGAAGCAATGTTGCTCAGAATCAAACAAGGAGTCAACTGACAAAAGGTCAAGGTCATAGGTCAAGGTTGAATTTTGTATCTTTTCACTGGTGAACATTTTGGTATGACACTTTGAAGCAATGATGAACCTTTTGTTATGACATTATGAAGCAAATTTGTTCAAATTTAAAAAGGAGTCAACTGACTTAAGGTCAAGGTCATTTTATGTTATTATGTAGCAAACTTGTTCAGAACTTAACACACAGTCAACTGACCTTAGATCCAGGTTACGGGGTCCAAAGGTCAAGTTTTGTATTTTTCACTGAGGAACATTTTGTTATGATATTATGAAGCAAAGTTGGTCGGAATTAAAGAATAAGTCAACTGACCAAAGATCAGAGTCACTGGGTTAATGGTCAAGGTCATTTGGGTCCAAAGGTCAAAGACAAAGTGGATCTCTGACTTTGACCCTGGCTCTTGATGGAGGAGGTATAGAAGGAGAAATAAAACAAATCAAGGCTAACAAATGAGTATTGCACTGGTATTTACATTTCTGTTAGCCCAGCAAATATGGAGGTGGAAGGAAACAAGACACACATCATAGTACATGTAAAATGTATATTTTGCTTCCTTGCGATTCTTTTTGAAGTCCAAATGTCAAACGTCAAGCTCAGCTATATGGGCAGATTGCTTCTTGATGATTATTGGGGATATACTTGCCACAAGACGGGGCCCTTACTGACCTGTCAGTGTTCTAGTTATTGTTCAAGAAATATGTGATAATGCTAGAATATTGTGAGACAATTATGTAATGATGATTTTCTTTTTAATTTCAGGTTTGTCCATCCAGTGCTTTTGTCCACTATATGGTCATTGTCTAAAGAACAACCTTTCCTGGTGTATAATGTACAGCATCATGTAAACAATAGTTGAGAAATTTTCCGCCAAATTGTGAAAACTGCGGAAGACTTCACAAGGACACAAACTTATTGGTTGAATTCCTTTCTGTCATACCTACACGATCCAACTTTAAGTTTGAAATAATGTTACCGAAATAACATCACCGTGAGATGCTAGTGTGTCTTATTGTGGTCTAACATGGAGATTGAATATATTATTAGAAAACATTGGCAATAATCGGACAGAGTGGAAGGTCGCTTCAGGCTGCCACATTCTTGCCACTTTTGGAAAATGATTGACAGTAGTTTGTTTAACAAAAAATGTCATAGTGTAATAATTTCCAGAGCAGTATCAGAACCCTATCCAACATTATGACGTCACTGCGGTGTCGTCTCGTGGGCAGAGTGGAGTGCTACTATGGATCAATGGCGTTCTTCCAAACAATTATACACAACATATTTCTCCTCTATCATGTTGATTTGTTTGTTTCCGTTTACAAAATCGACAAGATGTCATTTTGGGTTGGAGAAACCATATTTCTGATCTGGAACTCGCTAAATGACCCTCTTTTTGGATGGTTGAGTGATAAGCAGTACCTGTCCAGATCAAATAATCATTCAGAACCCCCCAGCAGTGCCTTAGAAGTTGTAACCAATCGTCTCAATGCTCTCATGTACACTGGGCCTCTAATGGCTGTGTCTTTTGTTTTATTTTGGTTTCCATGGGGATATCCTGGTCTCCAGTTTGCCGTTTGCCTCTGCCTATACGATGGGTTTCTTACTATGGTGGATTTACACCATTCCTCATTACTAGCCGATTTGGCCGTGTCTGCCAAGGAACGCACACAGCTCAACACAATGAGCTCCTTTTTTAGTGCAATAGGTTCAGCCTCCGTGTTTTTTTCCTACTCAGTTTGGAGTAAAGAAAATCTGAGTTCCTTCAGAATATTTTGTTTGTGTTTGGCTGTGTTTGCATTCCTAGGATTTTTTATAGCAGCAAATTTGATGAAACATGAGAGAACAAGAAGTTTGAAGAAATCTTTTTCATACGATGACTCTTGGAGTAGCAGGTTGGTTAAACATTTCTTAATAGTACAATTATACTGTTGAAGTTGAAATCCTTACATGCAAGACTTTTCTGTAATTGACTAAACTTTGGTAATCATTATATATATGCTGCAGCTTATTACATTCCATACATTGTGTTATTATGTTCACTTGCATATCTCATTGTGAAAAAATATTCGATAACTTTGATTTCAACAATAGTTCGATTATATTTGCTCATATCAAGGGGAGCATAAGATAAAGTCTGTATGTATATAAAGTTTTCCTTGTCTTACTACACTACCAAACATAGTATCTTTAGTGTCCAGCTCCTAGTGTGAGGTACCCTCTGTGGTCACTGTCGCCAAACACTGAATATCTTTATAACTTTACAATTAGCCACATTAGATACGTCTAAGATCATCGCTTATTTATTGCAGAACGATCAAAGGTTTACAAGACCAATACTGTGTCGATCGGGGGTTTCTTTAGACCCTTAATCGTGTGTGTTTGACTCCCCAGAAAGACCCTTAACATTAAACAATTTCAGTAGTCAAACTACTTTAGAAATTGCTGTTAATATTCATCTGAATGTCTTTTGTCCTGCTGTCTGCAGATCAAGAGTTTTCAGTAATAAATCAAGAATGTGACAAATTAATGTTTTATAACATGGAGTGACTCCTTTCACAAAAGTTACCAACAATATTATACATATCTGTTTTAATTTCACTTTTCAGGTCTGACTCGTATGATGGCCCTGGTCAAGCAGTGAAACCAGGCATCGTAACGTTTGTGTCACAGCTTAGTAAACAACGCAACTTTATTTGGTTTACCCTTATGAACCTAATCCAGGTAAGTTGTTCTTTACAGATATAGCAACATCACTGTGGTTTTGGATTTATCTGTTCCCATGTCAATGAAAACACATTTTTCACCCGATATGTTATTGTATATTCCAATATTCATATGACACTGATGACATTTCAAATTCATGACCAATGCATGTCACAGCTAGTATTATAACTAAGTTTCAGACCCATGACCAATGCATGTCACAGCTTGTATTATAACTAAGGTTCAGACCCATGAACCAGCATGTCACAAGATAGTATTATAAATAAGTTTCAGACCCAAGAACAAGCATGTCACAAGCTAGAATTATGACTAAGTTTCAGGCCCATGAACAATTTATGTCACAGCTAGTATTATAACGAAGTTTCAGACCCATAAACATTGCATGTCACAGCTAGGATTATAACTAAGGTTCAGACCCATGAACCAGCATGTCACAAGATAGTATTATAACTAAGGTACAGGCCCATGAACAAGGTATGTCACAAGCTAGAATTATGACTAAGTTTCAGACCGATGAACAAGCATGTCTCAAGATAGTATTATAGCTAAGATTCAGACCCACGAGCAATGCATGTCACAAGATAGTATTATAGCCAAGTTTCAGACCCATGAACCAGCATGTCACAAGATAGTATTATAACTAAGTTACAGACCCATGAACAAGCATTTTACAAGCTAGTATTATAGCTAAGATTCAGACCCACGAGCAATGCATGTCACAAGATAGTATTATAAATAAGTTTCAGACCCATAAACATTGCATGTCACAGCTAGGATTATAACTAAGGTTCAGACCCATGAACAAGGCATGTCACAGCTTGCATTATAACTAAGTTACATGCCCATGAACATGTATGACACGAACTAGTATTATAACTAAGTTTCAGCCCCATGAACAAGCATTTTACAAGCTAGTATTATGACTAAGTTTCAGAACCATGAACAAAACATGTCACAGCTAGTATTATAACGAAGTTTCAGACCCATGACCAATGCATGTCACAGCTTGCATTATAACTAAGTTACATGCCCATGAACATGTATGTCACGAGCTAGTATTATAACTAAGTTTCAGGGCCATGGACAATGCATGTCACAGCTAGTATTATAACTAAGTTACAGGCCCATGAACAATGTATGTCACAAGCTAGTATTATGACTAAGTTTCAGACCCATGAACAATGCATGTCACAGCTTGTATTATAACTAAGTTATAGGCCCATGAACAATGCATGTCACAGCTAGTATTATAACTAAGTTTCAGACCAATGAACATTGCATGTCCCAGCTAGTATTATAACGAAGTTTCAGACCCATGAACAATGCATGTCACAGCTAGTATTATAACTAAGGTACAGACCCATGAACAATGCATGTCACAGCTAGTATTATAACTAAGTTAAGACCCATGAATAATGCAGGAGATTGATTTTGATTGTGTTCTTCTTTGAAAACTGGCTAAAAAGTTCAGGCTAGGCACAAAAAAAATAGGTTAAGTAGATATAGAGTTTACTGGACACACAAATTATTTTTTGTTTGCCTTAGGCATATTAGATGATGCCTTTTGTTGTTGGAATCCTAGAGAGAGGGTTGGGATTCATTTATAACCATGGGCATGTTGGTGATGAAATACAGTCAATAAAAATACCTACATGTCATCGAACTTGTGGAATCATGTTAGCGGAACTTTTTCAATATCTTGTCTAGTTTATACAACAGAAGAATCAGGTGAGAGATACAGCCCTATTGGCCTCTTGTTCCAACATAAACTCTAAATATCACCTTTTAACTCGTTTGGAAATGCGAAAATTTGGCATGTCACTAAATCTGATTTTATATTTCACAACTATTAATTTGTTATTCAATTAAAACTTATTTGTGTTTCACTGAGATTGATTTAATAATATTTTTTTCTATTTTCAGGTTTTTCACTGTCATTTCAATAGTAACTTTTTTCCGTTATTTTTGGAAAATTTATTAGGAAATTCTGTGAGTTCAAGCTTTGGATCTTTTTTGATAGGTAAGTTATTGGTTAATTTGTTCACTGTTTTATTATTTAAGTTATATTACATCACTGAAATGTATTTGGGTATTTGATTTTGTTCGAAAGTTAAATATGTTATATGTATATGTGCTATAAATGTATGTAAATGCTTCATATTTTCACAGGTATATCTTTCCTGGCGCCCCATGTAAACAATCTGTTTTTCCTGGAGTTGTGTAAGCGGTATGGTGTCTATACAGTGATACAGATCCTCTTCTCCATCAAACTTGCCCTCAGCCTTTTCATGTTCTTCATGGGACCTAACAACCTATGGCTACTCTGCCTTTTTATAGCCAGGTAAATCAGTCCGTTAGTGACCACTCTTGTTGCTGAACATTTTATCACCAAGGTTTCTTTACTAAAATTTTCAAAATGTTGCACGGCTTTCTATATATTTAGCAATTTCAGTAGTCATTTGACTTTTTCTCCTGAAATCTTGAGGGTCAAATCACATGTCAAATGGACATTTCCTTACAAACCTATGAGTCAAAGCTCTTTTTGAGAGACAGAAAGATACCTTAAAGTGTCTATTGAATATCCAGGGCCTGAATTCATGAAACTGTTCTCATGCTCAAACTCTGATTCTGTGCTCAATCCTGATTTCTTGTTTCAGTGCTAAATGCATTTCAAAAAATACATTTTGTCTGTGATTGGGAAGAATTTAGAGAGACTTCAAGCAGAAAGCTGTTTCAAATTTTTGTACTTGACATTTTTACCACGTGACATGATTTAAGCGAGTTAAAGCAAGTTGGTTTGAGTACAGAATTCATGCTTGAGTATGAGAACAATATGGGCCCAGATGTTGCTATTCTGATTGCCATGAGAACAATATGGACCATGTTGTTGCTATTCTGATTGCCATGAAAACAATAAGGGCCCTGATGTTGCTATTCTGATTGCCATGAGAACAATATGGGCCATGTTGTTGCTATTCTGATTGCCATGAGAACAATAAGGGCCCTAATGTTGCTATTCTGATTGCCATGAGAACAATATGGGCCCTGATGTTGTTATTCTGATTGCCATGAGAACAACATGGGCCCTGATGTTGCTATTCTGATTGCCATGAGAACACTATGGGCCCTGATGTTGCTATTCTGATTGCCATGAACAATATGGGCCCTGATGTTGTTATTCTGATTGCCATGAGAACAATATGGGCCCTGATGTTGTTATTCTGATTGCCATGAGAACAATATGGGCTCTGATGTTGCTATTCTGATTGCCATGAGAACAATATGGGAGCTGATGTTGCTATTCTGATTGTCATGAGAACAATATGGGCCCTAATGTTGCTATTCTGATTGTCATGAGAACAATATGGGCCCTGATGTTGCTATTCTGATTGCCATGAGAACAATATGGGACCTGATGTTGCTATTCTGATTGCCTTTCTTTAGACTCATTTTAGAAATTGAAAGCTCAATAAAGGTTTTGTTTTTGAAATCAAGACAACTTTTTGAGGTTAATGAAAATAATGTATTCCTTCTTGCAATTCTGCTTTGATACTGTGACTTTATCATTATCATTTCTCCTCCCCAGCAACCGCGTGTTTACTGAGGGGACATGTAAGCTGTTAAACCTTGTGATCAGTGACCTTGTAGACGAGGACTATGTCCTTCACAACCGGAAACGTGCAGTCTCTGCCCTTATCTTCGGGAGTACTGCCCTTCTATCCAAACCAGGACAGACCCTAGCCCCACTGATCGGGATGTGGTTGCTAGCTATGCAGACAGGTAAATAGAATAAACTAAAGAGTTCTGTATCAGGCAAAACAATTTGTTTGTATGTTTGAAGTAATATGACTGAAAAAAATAGGGTGGGTTGGTCAGGTTTATATTCATTTCTTTGTTATTATTTTTAAGGGGTGGGGGGTTTAAAATTTACAAAATCACCAAACATATTTTCATAGTTACCAAACTCCTTCCATCCTTCTTGATTTCAAGGAAAAATAATCAGCCCACAATAAACACACAATGACATGGCCAAGATGAAATACATTAATCACATATGTGTGTAAAGTTGTTTGAATTTTGCTGAAAGTGAAACCTGACTTTCAAAAGCATTCAGATCATGTTTATCTAGGTCTAGAAATGAAGTTAAAATATAAAATTTCAGTTACAGTATTTAATACAGTCAAAAGGATATCTAAAAGTAAAATTGTATTCAGTGGAGAAAATTGAACGATGAAAATTGAAGTGAAAGTGTGATGTTGTATGTTACAGACATCCTATATATGTAAGTATACCAGACGTATGTATGGATCTTGCAGGTCATGACATTTTCCAGACTAGTAACAAGATAGTATCCCTACAGCTTGGGGACGGTGAGGTTGGACCGAGTGCCCATGAACAGTACCGACAAGGCTGCTTCAACCTGCTCGTTTACATTCCCATTTTGTGTGCCGTCGTCCAGATCGCTGTCTGGTCACAGTTCAAACTTCATGGTCACCGACTCCGATGGGTCAAATCCTGTCGCACAGGAACCGACCACTCATTAATTTAAGACATATGAGATTTTTATCTGATCGTGATTATTGTTTTTTATTCTGTCTTGTATCACAAATGTGAGTCAAAGATTTTATATCATATTGTAAATCCCTTTACCCCAAACTGCTGCAAGGATCATTACTGCTGATTTTGAAACCTGTTTGATTATTCACAATATTTATTCATAAAAAACAACTTGATAATTTCATTTTAGTTATAATTTATCCATATTTTAATTTACCAAATATTTTCATGCTTCGTTTTTCCACTTGGGAACCAAATAATTTTCAATGAAGTTTGTGCTTATTTTTAATAACAGTGATACAAATACAGTTGTAGTCATGCATTGGTGCTTAAAATCACAGGGACAAATACCATGTGATTTTGAATGTACATGTAGCAAATACGTTATGTTGCAAGTTTCTAATTAAATTAGGACTTTTAAGATTTTTATGTTTTTTGACATGCCATATTCAGACCATATTGTTTATTTAATTGGTGTCACATTACAGGTGTACAGAAGTGGAAATCCATGTCCATTGTAGCGTACGTGTAGGTAATTTTATCATTCCTGTAACGTGTACACGTTATTATACCAGTAAATCACTGTCCATTTGGGGTAAGAATATCCTTTTGATTTAAAAATTTAATTGTACATATAGATATTGCCAATGACACATAATAGATTTACCTGTAAGGTTTAATGATTGGATTTTGTAGTTTTAAACTTTTTTTTTATATAATTCTTCTATTTTTTATTTAATTCTTCTATTTACATGTTCCTACAACATAACTGATGAAAGTAATGTCTATTCTTTATAATTGAGTATCATTTACTTGTTCGTATGTACAATAGATGAAATTGCCCTCAATACAATCAAAATCAATATTGTTGAAAAAAGATGTAGGGATTCTACTTTTTCCTTGACCAAGCTGTGATAACATCATAATTTGATGGGCCAAGCTGTGATGATGTTTATTTTGGCAAATGCCATGGTACTTCGTTCATCATTTGCATGTAGATTTGTCAGTTTTTCACATTTTTACCTAAAGATATTGTTTTACACTCAGCACTAGAGAAATACCACAGAATATTTTTGTTGAAATAGTTTATCATTGCCAATCAAAAATCGAGAATGCACCGTAGAATACTTTTGTTATCAAATCCCTTAATTTGCAACAGAAAAATGACACCGTACAGAAAGCTTATGTTATAAGAGGTTTTCATTGCATATCAACAATAGGATCACCACAGAATATTTTTGTCAGCATCATAGGCAGACATATATATTCCAATTTGTAATATATATGTCTCTGTCGTAGGTAGTCAAATGGAATCATTATTACCAGGTAGGTACCCTTAGTTTTTGTTGTCATTATTTATTCTATAAAAACTTTGGCCTCTATAAGGATGGCAGTCCCACCAATTTTCTACTGTGTACATGGACAGTGCTTTTTTGTGTATATTTAATTGGTGTTATTTCCTCTGTATTCATACAAATACCATTTTAAGCTGCATCTATTGGGGAGTTGGCAATATTTATTTCATGACCAGTAGTGTAGTATATAAACTCTCCCTTTTATAGTCAAGAGGTCTTGGAATAGAATGTTGTGTAGGAGCTGAGGTGGTTTTTTTTGAAAATGGAAATTATAATTATTAGATTTCTTTCATGTATAACTTTTTGCTGCAAAAGTGAGCAAGCAACTCCTAAGTCAGACATTTGGGCGAGAGACTGGGAATCTTCTCTGTGAAAGATACAACATAGAACACTGGAACTCTCTTGCCAAGAGATTGGAACTCTTCTCTGTTAAAGATACAACATAGAACACTGGAACTCTCTTGCCAAGAGATTGGAACTCTCCTCTGTTAAAGATACAACATAGAACACTGAAACTCTCTTGCAAAGTGATTGGAACTCTTCTCTGTTAAAGATTCAACATAGAACACTGGAACTCTCTTCCTTAATATAGATAAAAATGCTTGAAATAACTAGATACATATTAGTTCTCTTTTATCTCTACTGTGGAATATATTTAACTCATTTACCTCTGAAGACACATTTGAATTCTTCCAAATCAAAGGTTGGAATAGTTCATCATGAAGTTTCACTCGTATAACAGGTAGCCATTCATATAACAGGTAGCCACTCATATAACAGGTAGCCACTCATATAACAGGGAGCCACTCGTATAACAGGTAGCCACTCGTATAACAGGAAGCCCCTCGTATAACATGTAGCCACTCATATAACAGGTAGCCATTCATATAACAGTTGGTAGCCACTAGTATAACAGGTAGCCACTCGTATAACAAATAACCACTCGTATAACAGGTAGCCATTCATATAACAGTTGGTAGCCACTAGTATAACAGGTAGCCACTCGTATAACAGGGAGCCACTCATATAACAGGTAGCCCCTCGCATAACAGGAAGCCACTCGTATAACGTGTAGCCACTCATATAACAGGTAGCCACTCGCATAACAGGAAGCCACTCCTATAACAGGGAGCCACTCGTATAACAGGGAGCCACTCGTATAACAGGGAGCCACTCATATAACAGGTAGCCACTCGCATAACAGGAAGCCACTCGTATAACATGTAGCCACTCATATAACAGGTAGCCACTCGTATAACAGGGAGCCACTCATATAACAGAGAACCACTCGTATAACAGGTAGCCACTCGTATAATAGGAAGCCCCTCGTATAACAGGTAGCCACTCATATAACATGTAGCCACTCCTATAACAGGGAGCCACTCGTATAACAGGGAGACACTCGTATAACAGGGAGCCACTCGTATAACAGTTAGCCACTCGCATAACAGGAAGCCACTCGTATAACGTGTAGCCACTCATATAACAGGTAGCCACTCATATAACAGGGAGCCACTCGTATAACAGGTAGCCACTCATATAACAGCTTGTAGCCACTCATATAACAGGTAGCCACTCGTATAACAGGTAGCCACTCATATAACAGCTTGTAGCCACTCGTATAACAGGGAGCCACTCATATAACAGGGAACCACTCGTATAACAGGTAGCCACTCGTATAACAGGAAGCCACTCGTATAACAGGTAGCCACTCATATAACAGGTAGTCACTCGTATAACAGGGAGCCACTCGTATAACAGGGAGCCACTTGTATAACAGGGAGCCACTCGTATAACAAGTAGCCACTCATATAACAGGTAGCCACTCGTATAACAGCTGGTAGCCACTCGTATAACAGGTAGCTGTTCATATAACAGGTAGCCACTCATATAACAGCTTGTAGGTACTCGTATAACAGGTTGCTACTCATATAACAGGTAGCCACTCATATAACAGGTTGCTACTCATATAACAACTTGTAGCCACTCATATAACAGGTAGCCACTGATAATAAGTTTATGTGCCAATATTGTACTCTTCTCCTTAAAGATTTTTTTTGCACAATTTAATCCTTGAGATCATATTTGTTTTTCTATTTGTTCAGTCTGTTGCACATACCAACCTTATGATGCTGAGGGCGTGTATAAAATGTTTTAGACGTCGTAATAGTTTGTAGCAGCTCTGAATGTTCACCTACACAAACGCAAAATCTTACAAATAGGTATAGTACATGCACTGTGAAACATGTGAAGAAGCTCTTGTTTCATTCATACATTATTTTTGCATGGAAATCATTTTAAATAGATATGGTGTTCTAGAAATAATCAATAAATCCGGTTTAAGTCAAAAAAAAATTACCTGCAAATCATAAAAATAACAGTCTGTTGAAACACAGACCTTTACTCAGAATTTTACCTGTGATAATCTTTTGCTTGGGCTTAAACCTGTCGTATCGGTAGATAAATTAAGCTACTAAATAACTAAATTTTCACATATCTGAAACTAAATCTTCATCTATAAAGGTTTGAGTTTGGGAATAAGTGGAGTTATTGGTTTTCCTGTTCCCCAAGGACTAGTTCCACACGTCCAGTACATTACCACTAGCTGTAACTTCTCCGTAAAGGATGCGTTAATTACAAGCAGTTCATGTCTTCGTGGTTTGTATTTTTAGATTGTGACCAAGTTATGGTGCTTACGTATATATGTTCAGGTATAAATGTGGTTTATCCCATAGGCTGGACAGGATATGTTTGTTCATTAGGATAAACACAGTAAATTTACTGCTGAATAATAAAAAATGTTTTATATATTCCATATTGTATATACTGTAATATATTTTTATGAGTTATACAAATGATTTGTGTTTGAATTTGTAATAGGAGGAAATGATTTCCTCAGTCTTGCCATTCTATAGAAATTACTTGTTATTGTTATAAAATATCCAAATAATTGTTAATTGACAATGATTTTTAAGAAATTTCCCTTAATTTTAATAGTCTAGTAGAGTGTTCCTTCTTATTTACTTCTGAAGATTTTTGAAGATGTTCAGAAATGAAAATCATAGCACCTAAGGGTGGTTCTAAAGTCTTAACCATTAAAATGTTGCCTTGTTTAAAACAAGTCTGTGATTTTAGTTAACACCATCATTTTTTTATAGGATACATGTATGAAGTAATTGTTGTGATATGAATTTCTTTTACTGGGAAAATACAAGAAAATAATATTATGATGTTGCAACTTTACATTTTTTTGAATCGATAAGAAAGCACCACTTGTATCATTGTCCATGTACCAAAGAAAAGGATGATAATATTCCATAAATTTTGTAGTTATGAGTATAAACTTTTAATTTCAAAAATTTAACTGTTCACAGCATCAAAACCCACAATTGATACAATGTTATTTATACTATATTTTACCTTTTTTTCACCAACAATTGACATTCTTGAATAAGGCTGATACATCTATGAATGGAAATTGTTACAAATTACTGATTTACAGAATAGATACACTGTACCAGGTACCGGTGGTTTCATCTACAACTATTGCAGAATGGCATATAACAGTAAAGTTGACAGGCTTTGAATTTGGGTGTCACTCCCCTGTTGTCTTCAAAGGACAGGTGTAAGCCTGTTGTTGGTCAGGTATTTTTACCTGAAACCAAAATATAACTGCATGCTTTTGATTTTGTTGTGACATATTCCAGGGTGCGCCGACTGCAAGTGAACATAAGCCCTGGAATTTAGAGGAAATGTATGGGAATGCCATAGTACTGTATAGTAGAAGTATTCTCTGTAATCCCTACAATAACAGTTTACATGTAATGTGTGCCTTGAACTGAAAACTTCGCCAACATGTACATACCATTTTCTCTAAGTGGGTGATACATTCATACAATATCATGTTATCTTTGATTTTGTTTGTATTTTATCTGTTGATGGACCAAAAATTATTCATGCATCTTTTGTAGTACATTTCACCATGACAAATTTCTTTCCATAAATCCACCCAACGGAACTTCTTCTGTTTTATAATATGACATTTGTGTTATTCTTTTAAATAGCTGTGTCAAATTTGAAGTTAAACATAAATAAAAATTACAAGGTGATTTATTTAAGTGAAATCAACTTAAGAGATGCAAGAGAAAATGTTTAATGAAATAAATGCCAAAATTTGTCAGTTGAATACTTTCACTTCAAAATTGACACAAATAAGGACAGAGATAATCATATGGAAATGTTAACATTAGAAATAGGATTCTTTATATTTATATGTTGGAATCATATATTTTTATATACGTGTGTAATCTATGTCATATTGCTGTTTTTGCTCATATATATGACCTACAATTAGGTTTTAGGTCTCCTGAGACAGTCTCGGTTACAGAGATCTGAGACAAAGTCTTGACATTTTCGACTCTTCTCAAAAACAACGGAATCAATTTCATCAAAAATTCGAAGAAAACCCCATGACCGAAAACATCAAAATTGTTGATTATATGGATCTCATTGCCCAAGGGCCTGAGGGGCTCGGCCCATTTATTGACAGTTACGAGCTATATATTATATTGGTCTTTCCAACATCATTTTGTTGGTGATTCCACATTTAAAAAGCATATTTGGTTATTAACAATTGTATTATCTCTCAGGTGACTGTTAAGATCCATGGAACTCTTGTTTGTTCATTTTTTAAGAAGAAAAAATTAAATATGTTGTTCATTCAGTTATTTTATTCAAATACAACCAAAAAGTTAAAATCCATTTTTGTCAGCAAGACAGTGATCATGATCAAAATGGATACACCAAATCAAAGTCATTATTAAAATATACACACCAAATCAAAGTCATTATTAAAATAAACACACCAAATCAAAGTCATTATTAAAATATACACACCAAATCAAAGTCATTATTAAAATAGACACACCAAATCAGTCATTATTAAAATAGACACACCAAATCAAAGTCATTATTAAAATGGATACACCAAATCAAAGTCATTATTAAAATATACACAGCAAATCAAATCAAAGGAGTATATTGCTCAGATAATATACTGTATACCGGTAAAATGTTGGTGCCGGTTTTACGCAAAAATAGCATTCAGCGAATAGGAATTTTGGAATTTTACCAGTAAATGGTGAAAAATTGATTTTGGGTGAGTGGGGGGCGAGTTTTACAGTAATCTTTTGATTGCATTAGGCTATATTAAATATGGAGAGTTCCGTACATAACACAGAGAATATGAGACAATATGAGAATTGCCATTTGACCTTTGTAGCGATGTGTGTCAAGGTGTATGAAAACTCATTTTGATAGAATGCATAAATAATGTTAGAAATAATATAATGTATCATTGTGATATAATGGAAGTGTGCCATGATATTTATAAACAAAATGGAATATTTATGAGAGGAAAAAATGTCTTGGATATTTATCGACATTTCATGTGATCAATATAATATTATGGAAAGAGAAACAGTTCATTTTCGTGCTTCAAAATGGTGTTCCTACACTTATATTTCTGTTATGTTCATCTATTTTATTGTAGTTTTAAAATATTCAAATACGTTTGTGTTCAAAATTAATAGACTGTTGTCTGAAATAAACCTATTGCTTGTGAATTGTTAATGTTCATCCTGTTGATGTTCGATGTGTCGGACAATTACAATGATTTATGATACTACCCTTTTAGCATTGCTCAGATAAAACTTTAAAGATGTGTTCCAAATGATTTCAGTTAATGTATTTTCATTTAAACATTTTTAAGCATTATTGATATTTTTTCCAGTAATAAATGCTAATGACAAAAGATAATTTTAACAATAAGGGCTACAAAAAACTAATTTCAGCCCGTAATATGTAGCTGATTTTAACTAAAACACGCTAACCGACAAGTAGAACATGGGAGGTCAAGGTCACTTACTAAAAACTAAATTTCACCATCAAACACCTTGTCATTTCTCTAGCGGACTTATTTCAGGAATAATTTTGATAAAATCTTGGGTATGTATGCCTATGATCTACTTTAGGCAAGCTTGAATGTGGATGTGATCATTTTAAGGTCAAAGTCATCTTTACTTAAACAGAATTCTACCCTTACACTTCCTGTCATCACGTTTGTGACCTTAGTTCTTGGCAATTTCTTATGAAATTTCACAGATGTGTTGACCTTTTGAAAAAGCCTAGTAAGGTTTTCAATATGGGTATAATTAATCAAAAGTCGAGATCACTGCAACTAAAATAGTCCTACAGTTTTTGTTTTATATATATGTTACATTGGATGGTTACAAACAAAAATACATACCAATTATGCCTCAAAGAACCAAAATCAACAGAAAGTTATCTTTCAGTTTTCTGTAGAAAATAATTACAATGAAGGAATACTTTACAATGTTAATTTAAAACAAAGAATCAAATTACAAAATAAAATATCATTCT